ATGCTAATGCACCCCTGCGTCAGCTGCTAAAGCAGTCCAGTGAGTTCCTCTGGGACAACCAACACGACATCGCTTTCCAGAAAGTGAAAGACTTGATCACGAGAGAACCAGGACCAATCCTTGCCTACTACGACCCCAACAAAGAGCTCAGACTCCAGGTGGACGCGTCAAAGTATGGACTAGGGGCAGTGCTACTGCAAGAAGGACTGAAAGACTGTGAAATCAACTACGCTCAAATCGAAAAGGAGCTGTACGCCATTCTGTTCGGATGTAAGCGTTTCCATCAGTATGTGTATGGACGACAAGTCATTGTGGAATCAGACCACAAGCCCCTCGAGTCAATCATGAGGAAACCGTTAGCCGCAGCCCCGCCAAGGCTACAGAGAATGATCCTTCAACTACAAAAATACAACTTCACAATCACTCACCGTCCAGGCAAAGACATCCCTGTCGCAGACACACTCTCCAGGAAGTTTCCTACCTACAAGGACAGCAGCCTCAGTGAAGGCAAGGACATGCAGGTGCACAGTGTACAGCAACTTAGTAACCAGTTAGTGACACAAAACTGAAGGAGATCCGAGCAGAAACAGAAAAAGACACACAACTCACACAGCTGAGGAAAGTCATACAGTCAGGATGGCCTGAGGAGAGGAGAAAATGCCCTCAGAGCGTCTCAGAGTTCTGGAACCATCGTGACGAACTATCACAGATCAACGGAATCATTTTCAAAGGAGAGAAAATCATCATTCCTACCAGTCTCCGAGAAGAGATTTTGACAAAGATCCATGCTGGACACATGGGCATGGAAAAGTGCAAACAGAGAGCACGGGACATTTTGTTTTGGCCCAGAATGTGCAAACAAATAGAGGACATGGTTGGTAAATGCCCCACCTGTCTTGAACGACGCCCCTCGAACACCAAAGAGCCAATGTTACCTCACCGTATCCCAGACCGACCCTGGCAGGTCGTGGCAACCGATCTGTTCACGTGGAACAACGAGGACTACATTATAACAGTGGACTACTACAGCAGATACTTCGAACTCGACAAGCTTCACAGCACCACATCTGCAGCTGTGATACACAAGCTGAAAGCAGCCTTTGCCAGGCATGGCATTGTAGAGACTTTAACATCTGACAATGGGCCCTGTTACAAATCAAATGAGTTTGAATCCTTCACAAAAGCATGGGAGTTCACACACGTCACCACAAGCCCACATTACCCTCAAAGTAATGGCCTTGCTGAAAAATCTGTGCAGATCGCTAAATCACTCATGGACAAAGCAAAAGCAGACAAGAGAGACCCCTACCTCAGTCTCCTTGAATACCGCAACACTCCAGTTGACAACTTCAAATCACCAGCCCAGCTGTTGATGAGCCGCAGACTTCGCTCAATCCTTCCCAGCACCAACCAGCAGCTGCAACCTGAGGTCGTCAGCTACAAGGAAGTGCATGCAAAACGTGCACAGAGACAACAACAGCAAAAGCGATACTACGACAGGTCAGCCAGACCACTGCCACCACTGAATGACGGAGAGTCAGTTAGGATCCAGGAACATGGCTACTGGAAGCCAGCAGTCGTCATCCAACCAGCTGACACTGAACGTTCATATCTCGTTCGCACCGCAGAAGGAGCGGTGTACCGCCGCAATCGTCGTCACCTACTGAACACAAAAGAACAACACACTGACGAGATGAACTGTTCCCCTGAAAGAGAACGGGGTGGACTAAACACAGACACAACACAACATACACCATACTTACCTGCAACACCACAAGAACTGTTGACTGACACAGAAGCATGCTCAGCTTCATATCACACAAGGTCAGGAAGAGAGGTCAAGCCTAGAGCTGTCCTAGACCTGTGAAATGTCAAAGGGTGTAGGCGGATCGCTGCCCTAAAAGAGTTCCAGACTGTAAACTTGTTATTGAAAGTTAACTTGAAATGCTTTGGTATGGTATTTGTTTGATATGTTGAGATGTCATTGCTACAGTGAAAAGCTGAGTTGCTGAGAAATATTTGTTCTAAAAGTAACAGTATGCTGAATCATTGTTTGTCTGTTAAGTTGATGCAGTTGGTGCAGTTTAAATGGTTACTTACCTCGAGTTCAAACTACAGAGCATATATTCAAAAGAAACACTTTATTGTTCTACATATTTTTTCTTTTTTTTAAAAGAAGGGGGATGTAATATTCATATGTGTCAGCATACTGAATTGTAATTGGATGCATTATACTGTCATATCATACTGTGCTATGATTGGTTAAGACCACCCAGGTGGTGATGTCATTCTAAGATGATCATGGCCAGAGACACATGGACATGCCAGTTATAGCTAGTTAATAAAGAGCTACGTTTATAAATATCCTGTCGTCCTGCATTTTATTATTTTGTACAAAGCATACAAAACAAGACAAGGGGCACACATCCAGAGACTCAACACTGTTACTGCTCTGTCTGCCTGGCTGTGCCATCTTGCTCCGGTGAACAGAAGTCTGCGACTGGAAAAACTTGAAAAGGACAAAGCTCTAGTGATAGGGGTCATTTCTGAAGCTGGAGAGGGACTTGACGTAAACCTTTTAGATTCCGCCATGATTACTACATAGCTGGTGGCTGGGGAAGAGTGCATCATCAAAACAAGGGATGTTTGTAAAGCTACAGACCACCACCAATGACAGAGGGCGCTGTGAAGTGCCAAATGCACGGATCAGTCCACAGAGAAACCAGTCAAAAGTTTGGACACACATACTCATTCAAGGGTTTTTCTTTATTATTATTTTTTTTTTCATTGTAGAATAATAGTGAAAACTATGAAATAACACACAGGGCCAATCAGACAGGATAAAATCCACCCACTTTGCCAAAGCACAGCCCCTAGACCACTCAAGGGAAATCAACAGACCACTAACTAACTGCCATGAGAAAAGGCAGAGTATAGCCCAGGAAGATCTCACCCACCACACTAGCCCTAGGGGGGGCGCAAAATCGGACAGGAAGATCACGCCAGTGACTCAACCCACCCAAGGGAGTCGAGTGCAGCGAACAAAGCATGGGATGACGTGATGCGCTCTCATAGGGACGGCATAGGAGAGCGCAAACAAGCCAGTGACTCGGCCGCTATAATAGGGTCAGAGGCAGGGAATCCCAGAAAGAGTGGGGAGCTGGGAAGCCAGAGACAGCAAGGGTGGTTCCTCTCGCTAGTACCTTGCCGTTCACCTTCGCACCCCTGAGCCAGACACTCAATCATAGGGCCTACTGAAGAGATGAGTCTTCAGTAAAGACTTAAAAGGTTGAGACCGAGTCTGATTCTCTCACATGGATCGGCAGACCATCCCATAAAGGAGAAAGCCCTGTCTCCAGCTGTTTGCTTAGAAATTATAGGGACAATAAGGAGGCCTGCGTCTTGTGACTGTAGCGTACATTTAGGTATGTACGGCAGGACCAAATCAGAGGGATAAGTAGCAGCAACTCCATGCAATTCTTTGTAGGTAAAAAGTAAAACCTTGAAATCAGCCCGCAGCCTTAATTTGTACCATAACAACAGAGAAGGACCCAGAGGAGGGAGAACACTTTCTTTTGCCCTCCTCCTGCTAGCCCATCAGAATGCCTGCAAACAGTTTGAAAATTCTGTACCCTTCAGGGTGAGCACTGAAGCAACAGAATTCTGAACATATTGAAGAGGGTTGACACAGAGGCTTTAGGAATGAGCTATGCAGTAGTCCAGGTAAGAGGTGACAATCAGACAAACTGATCAACACAATACTATTCAGATTGCCCAAAACCTCGTGGTCCAACTTTTCAGAGCAGAAAGTCATATTGTTGTGTGAAACTGAGGGAGTCAGAGAGTTGGGGCTCTAATGTTGTGCTTTATTGGAAAACCAAAGGGTGTGCAATGTGTCTCCATCCATACCCTGTAAACAATACAACGTTTGTGTAAGGTGCCTAGGTCATATGTTCAAAGCGCTATTGAAATTCAAATAAAAAAATAATGGACAGTTGAAATGAGGTTGCTAAGTCACGTGGTTGAAGAGCTACTGACATTTTAAAGTTTAAAATATTTATATAAAATTATGTAAGCGCTTTATGGGAAAACCAAAGGGTGTGAAAATGTGTGTCCCTACGCTTTCAACATTCCAATGTCGGTTTGACGTGTCTAGGTCACATGGTCAAGGAGTTACTGAATTTTAAGTGATTTCCTTATCTATATATACAAATTAGGAATCATTTCATGAGAACTAAAGGGTGTGCAACATGCCTCTCTATATAAGGAATAATGGACAGTTGAAATGAGGTTACTAAATCACATGTTTGAAGAGCTATTAAAATGTTAACATTTCTAAGGTTTATGGGGAAACCAAAGGGTGTGATCAAGGAGCTATTGAATTTTAAGTGATTTTTTATCATTATATATTTTTATAAGAGTGCACCCTCTATGTAAGGAATAATGGACAGTTGAAATTAGTCTGCTAAGTCATCTGGTGTAATAACTATTAAAATTTGAATATGTGGTCCTCTGTAGCTCAATTGGTAGAGCATGGCGCTTGTAACGCCAGGGTAGTGGGTTCCAAACCCGGGACCACCCATACGCAACAATGTATGCACACATGACTGTAAGTCGCTTTGGATAAAAGCGTCTGCTAAATGGCATATTATTATTATAATAATATTGTGATCTTGGACTTTGTTGACGGTCCCTAACTTGTTACATTTACGGGATGCCAGGCTGCCTACACCGTTGCCTTGTCATGATGAAACTCGGGTCGGGAATCGGGATAATAAGACATGTGCAATGTTTTACACATGTTGTCCTTCATAAAGAACCTTAGGTATGTAGCTCAAATCATTTGCAAGCTATTTTAGTTTGAAGGTCCGAATGTCTGACGAATATCGAAACTGAAACCAATTTTACCAGTGTCATTCACCGACTGTCACCTCAGCTAAATGTACTTTGTCTGGGCAACAACAAATACAATGTAAAAATCCCTGTCCTAACTTTTTACCGTTATTATGGTACATCATCCCGATAGTCTCTCCAGGGTTAATGACCATGACAAGCGCTTCAGCACAGGGACACACATCCAGAGACTCAATACTGTTACTGCTCTGTCGGCCTGGCTGTGCCATCTTGCTCCGGTGAACAGAAGTCTGCGACTGGAAAAAATCAGGCTGATCAAGTTGGCTCAAACTTGAATAGGACAAAGCTCTAGTGAGAGGGGTCATTTCTGAAGCTGGAGAGGGACTTGACATAAACCTTTTAGATTCTGCCATGATTACTACATAGCTGGTGGCTGGGGAAGAGTGCATCATCAAAACAAGGGATGTTTGTAAAGCTACAGACCACCACCAATGACAGAGGGCGCTGTGAAGTGCCAAATGCACGGATCAGTCCACAGAGAAACCAGTCAAAAGTTTGGACACACATACTCATTCAAGGGTTTTTCTTTATTATTTATATTTTTTTCATTGTAGAATAATAGTGAAAACTATGAAATAACACACAGGGCCAATCAGACAGGATAAAAGCCACCCACTTTGCCAAAGCACAGCCCCTAGACCACTCAAGGGAAATCAACAGACCACTAACTAACTGCCATGAGAAAAGGCAGAGTATAGCCCAGGAAGATCTCACCCACCACACTAGCCCTAGGGGGGGTGCAAAATCGGACAGGAAGATCACGCCAGTGACTCAACCCACCCAAGGGAGTCGAGTGCAGCGAACAAAGCATGGGATGACGTGATGCGCTCTCATAGGGACGGCATAGGAGAGCGCAAACAAGCCAGTGATTCGGCCTCTATAATAGGGTCAGAGGCAGGGAATCCCAGAAAGAGAGGGGAGCTGGGAAGCCAGAGACAGCAAGTGTGGTTCCTCTCGCCAGTACCTTGCCGTTCACCTTCGCACCCCTAAGCCAGACACTCAATCATAGGACCTACTGAAGAGATGAGTCTTCAGTAAAGACTTAAAAGGTTGAGACCGAGTCTGATTCTCTCACATGGATCGGCAGACCATCCCATAAAGGAGAAAGCCCTGTCTCCAGCTGTTTGCTTAGAAATTATAGGGACAATAAGGAGGCCTGCGTCTTGTGACTGTAGCGTACATTTAGGTATGTACGGCAGAACCAAATCAGAGGGATAAGTAGCAGCAACTCCATGCAATGCTTTGTAGGTAAAAAGTAAAACCTTGAAATCAGCCCGCAGCCTTAATTTGTACCATAACAACAGAGAAGGACCCAGAGGAGGGAGAACACTTTCTTTTGCCCTCCTCCTGCTAGCCCATCAGAATGCCTGCAAACAGTTTGAAAATTCTGTACCCTTCAGGGTGAGCACTGAAGCAACAGAATTCTGAACATATTGAAGAGGGTTGACACAGAGGCTTTAGGAATGAGCTATGCAGTTGTCCAGGTAAGAGGTGACAATCAGACAAACTGTTCAACACAATACTATTCAGATTGCCCAAAACCTCGTGGTCCAACTTTTCAGAGCAGAAAGTCATATTGTTGTGTGAAACTGAGGGAGTCAGAGAGTTGGGGCTCTAATGTTGTGCTTTATTGGAAAACCAAAGGGTGTGCAATGTGTCTCCATCCATACCCTGTAAACAATACAACGTTTGTGTAAGGTGCCTAGGTCATGTGTTCAAAGCGCTATTGAAATTCGAAAAAAATAAATAATGGACAGTTGAAATGAGGTTGCTAAGTCACGTGGTTGAAGAGCTACTGACATTTAAAAGTTTTAAATATTTATATAAAATTGTGTAAACGCTTTATGGGAAAACCAAAGGGTGTGAAAATGTGTGTCCCTATGCTTTCAACATTCCAATGTCGGTTTGAGGTGTCTAGGTCACATGGTCAAGGAGCTACTGAATTTTAAGTGATTTCCTTATCTATATATACAAATTAGGAATCATTTCATGAGAACTAAAGGGTGTGCAACATGCCTCTCTATATAAGGAATAGTGGACAGTTGAAATGAGGTTACTAAATCACATGTTTGAAGAGCTATTAAAATGTTAACATTTCTAAGGTTTATGGGGAAACCAAAGGGTGTGATCAAGGAGCTATTGAATTTTAAGTGATTTTTTATCATTATATATTTTTATAAGAGTGCATCCTCTATGTAAGGAATAATGGACAGTTGAAATTAGTCTGCTAAGTCATCTGGTGTAATAACTATTACATTTGAATATGTGGTCCTCTGTAGCTCAATTGGTAGAGCATGGCGCTTGTAACGCCAGGGTAGTGGGTTCGATCCCCGGGACCACCCATACGCAACAATGTATGCACACATGACTGTAAGTCGCTTTGGATAAAAGCGTCTGCTAAATGGCATATTATTATTATTATAATATTGTGATCATGCACTTTGTTGACGGTCCCTAACTTGTTACATTTACGGGATGCCAGGCTGCCTACACCGTTGCCTTGTCATGATGAAACTCGGGTCGGGAATCGGGATAATAAGACATGTGCAATGTTTTACACATGTTTTCCTTCATAAAGAACCTTAGGTATGTAGCTCAAATCATTTGCGAGCTATTTTAGTTTGAAGGTCCGAATGACTGACTAATATCGAAATTGAAACCAATTTTACCACTGTCATTCATCATCTGTCACCTCAGCTAAATGTACTTTGTCTGGGCAACAACAAATACAATGTAAAAATCCCTGTCCAAACTTTTTACCTTTATTATGGTACATCATCCCGATAGTCCCTCCGGTGTTAATGACCAAGACACGCGCAACAGCACAGGGGCTCACATCGTCTGGCTGGGCCATCTTGCTCCGGTGAACAGAAGTCTGCGACTGGAAAAAATCAGGCTGATCAAATTGGCTCAAACTTGAATAGGACAAAGCTCTAGCAAGAGGGGTAATTTCTGAAGCTGGAGACGGACCTTTTATAGATTCCGACATGATTACTAGATAGCTGGTGGCGGGGGAAGAGTGCATCATCAAAATGAGGGATGTTTTTAAAGCTACAGACCACCACCAATGACAGATGGCGCTGTGAAGTGCCAAATGCACGGATCAGTCCACAGATTAACCTACAGTACCAGTCAAAAGTTTGGACACCTACTCATTCAAGGGTTTTTCTTTATTATTACTATTTTTTACATTGTAGAATAATAGTGAAGACATCAAAACTATGAAATAACACATATGGAATCATATAGTAACCAAAAAAGTGTTAAACAAATCAAAATATATGTTACATTTGAAATTATTCAAATAGCCACCCTTTGCCTTGATGACAGCTTTTCACACAATTTATTGCATTTCTATCACTCAAAGATATTATGGATAATATTTTAGTCACTCATTTTTTGTGTTTTTACTACTACAGTCGTTTCTATACTTTCTATTCCGTTCTTCACATTTATGTCCGTGAATGAAAAGACGTTCCTTTATTTGCCAGTAGATGGTGAACAATTTAACATAATGTAGCGATAAATATATGCTTTAATCCAGTGTCTAAAGGCATTTACACAAGACACCCACATGAACAACACATGATTGTGTCCAGTGTGTGACTAAGAGCCAATTTTTGCTTGATCCGAACATGTGGTCAGAGGCACCGTATGGAGGGTGTGATGCAATTGCGTATAATTAATAAGAGAAGTACTGGAAATCTGGGAAACCAAGCCTGGTATTCATAGTTGAATTTGAAAAGGCTTTTGATAAAGTACGACTGGAATTTATATTTAAATGCTTGGAATATTTATATTTTGTAGAATCTCTTATACAATGGGTCAAAGTTATGTATAGTAACCCTAGCTGTAAAATAGTAAACAATCGCTAGTTCTCAGAAAGTATTAAACTGTCAAGAGGAGTAAAACAAGGTTGTCCACTATTGGCATATCAATTCATTATGGCCATCGAAATGTTAGCTATTAAAATCTGATCCAACAATAATTTCAAGGGGTTTGAAATCCACGGCTTAAAAACAAAAGTGTCATTGTACGCTGATGATTCATGTTTTCTTTTAAATCCACAATTTGGATCCCTCCACAGCCTCATAGAGGATCTAGATAATTGTAGGACTTGGTCAGGTGATTTAAGCATGTCCCAGTTTAGGTCACCTAGCAGGACAAATTAAGACTTAGTGTAAGGGGCCAGGAGAAAGCTTAGGGCATTTAGGGTACAGGCCAGTGCTGATGGTGAAAAATAACACCCAGCAACAGTCAACAAAGAGCTATTTGAAAGTTTAATGCTTAAAACAAGCAAATCAAATTGTTTGGGGACAGACTTGGTGGAGATAACCGAGCACTGTAGGTGTTCCTTGGTAAAGATTGCCACTCCACCACCTTTGAAAGATCTGTCTTGCCTAAAAAGGTTATAACCAGAATGGTTAACATCAGTGTTCAAAACACTCTTTCTTAACCAGGTCTTAGTAATGACCAACACATCTGGATTAGAGCTGTGAACCCACACTTTCAATTGATCCATTTTATGTAGTAAGCTTCTAGTGTTAATGTGCAGAAAACCCAGTCTTTTACGAGAGCAGAAATCAGTGAAGGAGATATCAGAGCACAAGTCAGAATTAGGGCTAGCAACAGTATATGGGCCAGGGTGTACATAAACATTTCCAGATATCATCAGCAGTAATACAATCAGAGCACGGCAGAGGACAGGGAGAGCTCAGCAGTATAGATTTTTTTATTACATTTGAATGTGCATCAAATGGCAGCAAGATCATATTGTACAGCAATTTCATCAGGTAACATGAATAAAAACCTGGCGAGAGGTGGTTAGAATAGGATGGGAGTACAAGAGTCTGTGTAACTAATAGAGAGTCAGAGTCCCGAGTGTGAGAACAAACATAGTCTATCCCACGGTCGGGTAAACAAGCAAATTCATAGTCAACAACGGAGTCATGAGGCAAATATCATAAAGCACAAGACAACAATATAACAACTTGGGGCTAGCAATTGTAAGTTCAGAGTCATTCGCCCCAACAGTGCGTGTGTGCTGGAGGCGAGCGTAAGCTCGGGAGAGAGAGGTAGTGTGGAAGGGGTACCTGTACCAGACAGGGGGAGATAGGCCAGGGCAGACGGTAAACAGATCGCCAGGTGGAATCTAAGCAGCAGTGCAGCAGGCAACAGGAGTAGGCGTCACACCCACTTGGGAGAAGCTTTTTTTGGGAGACAGATTTCCTGTAGAAAAGCAAAGCTAGCTAGCTAACGTAGCTAGCAAGTCTCTGTCCACCATTTTTTCCAGGTCGTTAGCTAGCTATAGCTCTTCAGTTTCGGCGGATAGTCTTTTACGAAGTCCAAACAAAGTTGTCCTGTGGCTCTACCTGTTCTCAATTGAGGGTCAGCCGAGGTAATGAAATCAGCCTTCTTTCTGAAGTCAAAGAGGACCTCCTTTGCTTTCTCCACACAGTGATTTGTAATGGTTCATATTTATGTTTTTTTTGTGACTTATATGAATGGTGTATAACTTTTTAATAGCAGGCATTGCTTATTACATTTCTATCACATTATTACCAATTTGTTATGCATCTTAATTTCATGTTTCCAGACACTATGCTGATTATCACCCATTACATTTATGTCATTTAGTAGACACTCTTATCCATAGCGACTTACACAAGCAATTAAGGTTAAGTGCCTTGCTCAAGGGCATGTCGACAGATTTTTCACCTAGTCGGCTCGGGGATTCGAAGCAGAAACCTTTCGGTTACTGGCCCAACGCTCTTCACCGCTAGGCTACCTGCCATGTCTACCTCCAGTTTCTAAATATAGCTATAGGACTCCTGATATCTCCAGAAGTGACAAGTATACTTTCTGTCTTAATCTGTGTTGTCTAGTATGGCCATCTACATTAAGTGCTGTCTGTCTTCCCAGTAGCCTACTTGGTGTGTGAAATGCTGACTGCTCATAACTTGCAGCTGATTGTTGACACATCAACCATGATTAAGGGGCAAGGGAACTAATCCTCCACCCCCTCCCTCTCTACGGATGACTTTGTCAACCCATTTTTGAAAAGGTTGACGACATCCACTCCTTATTCACTCAGCCTATTGAGTCCACTGGTTCCAATCACACAGAACTACCTTATGCTTTGACCTCTTTCTCCACTCTCTCTCCAGATGAAATCCTGCGACTCGTGAGGTCCAACCGCCCAACATCATGCCCGCTCGACCCTATCCCCTCCTCCTTTCTCCAGACCATATTTGGAGACCTTCTCTCATTCCTAACTTCCCCCAATTAATCCCTGCCCACTGTCAGCATCCCCTCTGACTTCAAAATGGCCAGAGTCACTCCCCTCCTCAAGAAACCAACACTTGACTCCTCTGACTAGTAAAAAACTACAGACCGGAATCCCTTTCCATAACACTTGAGCGTGCTGTCTCTGACCAACTCTCTCGCTATCTCTTTCAGAACGATCTTCTTGACACTAACCAGTCAGGCTTCAAGATGGGTCAATCAACCGAGACTGCTCTCCTCTGTGTCACGGAGGCTCTCCACACTGCCAACGCTGACTCTCTCTCTCCTCTGTTCTCATCCTCCTAGATCTATCTACTGCCTTCAACACTGTGAACCATCAGATCCTCCTCTCCACCCTCTCAGGGCTGGGTGTCTCAGGCTCTGAGCACTCTTGGATTGCATCCTAACCTTGCAGGCAGCTCCTACCAGGTGATGTCTGTGTCTGCACCACGTACTCTCACTTCTGGTGTCCCCCAGGGCTTGGATCTAGGCCATATCACATTCACTCTATACACCAACTCACTCAGCTCTGTCATATTCTCACATGGTCTCTCCTATCATTGCTATGCCGATGACACAACTACCTTTCTCCTTCCCCCTTCTGACACCCAGGTGGTGACACACATCTCTGCGTGCCTGGCAGATATCTCAGCTTGGATGTCAGCCCACCATCTCAAGCTCAACATAGCTGAGTGACTTGGTGTATAGAGAGAAGAGGGCCTAGAACTGAGCCCTGGGGGACATCAGTCGTAAGAGTACGTGGTGCAGACACAGACGGAGCTGCTCTTCCTCACGGGTAAGGCCTGCCAGTTTCAAGACCTTTCCATCATTGTTGAGAACTCCATGGTGTTTCCCTCCCAGAGTGAAAATAATCTTGGCGTGACCCTGGACAACACCCTGTCATTCTCTGCAAACATCAAATCAGTGACTTGCTCTGCAGGTTCATGCTCTACAACATCCGTAGAGTACGACCCTACCTCACACAGGAAGCGACGCAGGTCCTAATCCAGGCACTTGACATCTCCCTTATGGACTACTGCAACTCGCTGTTGGCTGGGCTCCCCACTTGTGCCATCAAACCCCTGCAATTTATATACAGAATGACGCAGCCCGCCTGGTGTTCAACCTTCCCAAGTTCTCCCCTGTCACCCCGCTCCTACGCACACTCCGCTGGCTTCCAGTCGAAGCTCGCATCCACTACAAGACCATTGTACCTGTCTACGGAGCAGCAAGAGGAACTGCCCCTCCTACATTCAAACCCTACAACCCAACCCGAGGACTCTGTTCTGCCACCTCTGTTCTCTTTGCCCTCCCACCCCTACAGGGGAGCAGCTCTCGCTCAGCCCAGTCTATGCTCTTCTCCCTCCTGGCACCCCAATGGTGGAACCAGCTTCCCCCTGAGACTATTGCCCCATCCAAAATGACTCCCAGAGAGGGCCAATCAGGCAGGATACATGCCACCCACTTTGCCAAAGCACAGCCCCGAGACCACTCAAGGGAAATCAACAGACCACTAACTTACTGCCATGAGACAAGGCCGAGTATAGCCCAGGAAGATCTCACCCACCGCACTAGCCGTAAGGGGGCGCAAAATTTGACAGGAAGATCACGCCAGTGACTCAACCCACCCAAGGGAGTCGAGTGCAGCGAACAAAGCCTGGGATGACGTGATGCGCTCTTATAGGGACGGCATAGGAGAGCGCA